TGTAATTTTAACTAACATATTTGGCCACTCTTACGACGTAAGAATGAAAAGTTTCATTTTCTTACACAGTTTCTGTTACATCTTATATTACAATTGAAAAGAAATACAAAATTTGCAATATTTTAAGTATACTGTTCCCAAAACATGCTAAAACACACAATTTTATAAAAACACTATTTTCAGAATTAATTTTTAATTTATTTCCAAAAAAAATGGTATATTTAAACTATACAACTATTTATACATCGTAAATACTAGGTGAACAAAAATTATGGAATCAAGAGGTTTTTTAAATCATTTGCTTTCAAAAAATAATGGAGTGCATAAAAATGTGATCGTGTTTATAAATAAAATTGTGTTTTATATGTAATTTTTTTTCGATAAAAATTGAATAAAATGTAAATAGTTGTAATTCTTAGATCATAGCTTTTGTAAAAAAGGTTTGAGGGTTGCTACTTAAAAAAAAACAATTTGCAAAACTCGAAAACTAAAAGAAATTTCGAAAAATTTGATTCTTGAAAAACGATCAAATATTTATCGTTCTTGATGGTATTAATGATTTTTTTCTAAAGTAATTTGTTTATGCGAAAAAGGTTTGTTTGTTTACCAAGTACGAAAATAAATTAATAAAAAAAWKTTTAAATCGTCATTAGTTTTGGGCCACTCTAAGCACATACTAGTAATAATCTATAATTAGTAGAAATTTTTAAAATATGAATTTAAGACCACAAAAGAATAAAATATTTAAATAATAAAAATGAAATATTTGGAAATTTATTTTTGCATATTTTGCTGTAGGACGAATAAGATATAATTTCTAATACTGTCAATAATTAAATTGATTCGGAAATCGGATGTTTAACAATTTAACATACACCATTCCCAATACACCACAAGACGTTACCATCCGTTTTGATAATTACAAGTTTAATAATGTGTTATTTCTGGGTAAATTTGTTCTACGTTTTAACAAACTTCCACCAAATTAATGTAAATGTCACAAGCAAA